AGAGCGGCAATTGCCGCTAAAGTTAGAACGGTTAAATATTATGTAAACTCTTAAACAGTCAAGTAATTTCTTATAAATGTGGAAATTCTAGTAGCTCTCTTAAGTATCTGAAAAACGTCAACTTTGTCTCGAGCGACTGAATAGAAATCTTGTACCGAGACGTTTCTCACTTCACTGAGGAGGTTTCGCAGAAAAAGTGAAGCGTTTTGGTATAGATCTTTCTTTCAGTTGCCCGAGAGAAACGGAATATGTTTTCCAAAAAAATATCAGCCTAAAACATTAGGCAGAAGTTCAAAAGACATTATAAACTGATATGGGATATTCAATTCAGAATCAGATAGCTTTTCTTATCACTGAAGCTGATCGATATCGTACTGAAACGCCAAAAATTCCCGCGCCTATGGATCCGAGCGCAGAATCTTTTACGCCACCTAGCGACGGCTCTTGTAGATCACACACATAGGGTTGTACAGTTAAAATATTAGACTATTAAAATATGAAACAACTATAAATGCGGAGTTATTTTAGAGCAAGAAAGTTTCATCTTTTATTCTCCGATATAACTTAAAGATGAAAGTTTCACACCTTATATTCTCCGATATAACTTTGAAACTTTCACACCTTATATATTCTCCGATATAACTTAAAGATGAAACTTTCACACCTTGTATTCTCCGATATAACTTAAAGAAACAATATAAATTTTCAACAGTAACCTTTTCTACATATAATGTGAAATACACACTGTAGAAACGCATGTTATAGAATCGATTAAATTTTCTTATTTAAAACAAATTAAAGCTTTGTTTCGTCAGTTACAGTTTGGTTTTTAGTGGAATTTTCCTGAAGAAGCTGTAAAACGAAACGTTGATTCCCCGGTTAAATAAAACAAACTAAACTTGGTATTATAATGATATTTATGCCTACAATTACAGCTTCTTGCTTTACTCTGACACTTAATATAGTTGTTACCCATAAAAACTTAATATACACAACGGCAGATTCAACAGTCTACTTAGGAGAGGGGGGGGGACTGTGGTAGGCATGCATACCATGCATTTTTACCTTCTTGTTTAAATATAGCAATTTTCAAGATTTTTCATTAAGTCTGATTTTATTGTCTTCACATAAATACGCAGTTCATAAAGCCATTTAGTTTTTTTCGTTTGTACAGATATGTCAACGACAGCAACGTCCTTCACTAGCCAAGTAGATGATATCTAGAGGTTATAGTCTTCACTCTGTTGCATAAGAACGACCACTCGCGTGGTTAACACTAGTCGTTATGAGTAAATCCAGCGTTTTCTGTTTTGTATGGAGCATTGAACCGATCGTATATAATGCGACTTTCCAGCGCATACTTCACTTTAACTTACGTGACCCTTCTGTCTTTTCTTAGCTTGAACTCAGTTACTTAGTTGAACTAAGATTTAATTCCCAGTTTCCTGATCGATCGTCCTGTTATAAAATGTATTCGTTTAACACTTACGTGGAAATTAACTTCACCTGAAAATACTACAAAGAAATTACAAGGATAAATTTTGGTGCTGTGACTACATGATTTATTGCAGTTTTCTGTTTTTACTAACGTGTGTGTTGGCTCTTGAGTTTAAAGTTCTGACTGAAAGAATGGCATATTTTTAAAGTAGAAGTACTCTCTACCAAGAGGGAGAGTTTGTCACCTGAGAGAGATGTCGAGTCCAGGAGAAAAAATGTCTCCTAGATGTAGTACTTTCGCTAATGCTGTGCAGGTCCTTGACATCGACCATTCTATAGACTCAGGATCATCAGCCAATTACTTAGTAGATCAAAACTTGCCCCTGAGAATCAATCTTGATGACTGAGAGTCGCAGAGGTGGAATGGTGCTTAGGAAGTCAAAATAACTTTGGAAAGTCTCTACAGAAGACCTGGAAATGCCCCTGGCACTTTTAACTGATTTTTCAAATACCATTTCTAAAATTGTTTGTTTGTTTTGAATTTCGCACAAAGCTACACGAGAGCTATCTGCGCTAGCCATCGACAATTTAGCAGTGTAAAACTAGAGGGAAGGCAGCTAGTCATCACCACCCACCGCCAACTCTTGGACTTACTTCTCTTTTACCAACGAATAGTGGTATTGACCGTCACTTATAACGCCCCCACGGCTGAAAGGACGAGCATGTTTAGTGTGACGGGGATTCGAACCCGCGACCCTCAGATTGCGAGTCGGCCGCCCTAACCACCTGACCATGCCGGGCACCATTTCTAAGAAAAGACAGATTTATTACAGAGTCTTTAGTAATCACTATTAGTTTATTACCGAGTTTTCGGTAAACATTTGTTAAATTTATTGAATCGGTAATTATACGCAGATATATATATATGAAACTAAAAAATAAAAAAAACATATGAAATTATTTAAGAGTTTAATTAGATTATTTTACTAAGCTAGTCTCATTCCTATCGTTTTTAATACCTACCAACATAAATAGAGTTCGTCTGATTCCATAAATGACTACAATCCAGTTCTGGGTTTCTACTTTTGCCCCACTTATTTGCGGACAGTCTCTTCACACCTTGGCCAAAAGATAAAAGTAGATATTTTCTTGACGTTACCTTAATGATTGATAATAACAACAATATACAATGTACCTCGTTTCATAAGCCAACTAAAAATACTATTTTCCTTCACTTCAACTTCCATCATCCAAAGGCTACCAAAAAACTGAAACTGTTGGAGAATTAAAAGGAATCTATCATTACTATTGCAGTGATAAAAACACTCTGAAATAAACAACAGTATAAAACACAGAGAAATCAAAGAGAAAGAAGACAATTTCCCAGAAATATCACAAAGAATTACTTTTACAGCACCTCTAATTGACGAAACTATCTCCAAGAAATTAAAACCATAATAAAGAAATCTGAAATATCTATTAAAGTTACAAGATGACATAGTCTAGCTGTAAGAAGCCAACTTTCAAAATCTTAGTAAACTACTCTTCAGTGTATCAAAGCCAACTGGCTCAGAAAAATGTTTTTAGATCTAAATTTGGGTGTGTGTTTCTTCCAACATTTTTATTACAACTTACATTTAACATCTGCCACCATACTTACATTGGAGAAACTGGAAGGACCACACACACAATGATAGAGCATCTGGATTCTCTTTAAAAACTAAAGTATTAAAGAAGTGCAGATACACATAATTGCTTTGTCCAATCATGGTCAAGTATTTTTTATCCAATCCTGACCAAGTAATATCTTCATCCAATCATAGTCAAGTATTTTTTATCCAATAATCGCCAAGTAATTGTTTTATCCAATCATGGCCAAGTAACCCATGGTATTCTTCTTTGCACTAGTCCTTACCAAAGCCATCAAATAAACGAACAGGACGTTTAAAGAAGCTCTTCTAATCCAACATCTATAATTATGGACGAACACTGAAAAAGGGTGGTACTCGTATACTTTTTAATATTAACTTTTGATACCTCCATTATAGTTTTTCAACAGCAATGTTTAGTTAATATAGATAGGTGGTTAGGGCGCTCGACTCGCAGTCTGCGGGTCGCGAGTTCGAATCCCAATCACACCAAACATGCTCGCCCTTTCAGCCGTGGGGCGTTATAATGTGACGGTCAATCCCACTATTCGTTGGTAAAAGAGTAGCCCAAGAGTTGGCGGTGGGTGGTGATGACTAGCTGCCTTCCCTCTAGTCTTACACAGCAAAATTAGGGACGGCTAGCGCAGATAACCCTCGTGTAGCTTTGCGCGAAATTCATAACAAACAAACAAACTCTT